TGTCACATTGCCTGTCCTGATGGTCCGTAATTATGAGGGGAATTCTGTACACTCCAGGAGACATCTTTTGCTGGGCTCTCACGAGAGCAGAGGTACCTGTAGAGAAAGCCATGCAATCAATAGTAAGAACAAGTATATTCCGTTCTTAAAACGACTTATTTTTGATAACAGTGCTAGAATGCTTTACTGGCACAAACAGAAGGCTGATGTGAACGGAGCAGCAATGAGGGGCTCTAAGAGATCAATTGGGTAAATCTGTCTACATGCCTTCTTGTCCTCTCTGACCCAGACAGCCCGTTGTTCCTTACCATGAAGACTCAATCTTGCTCTGCTTTTCTCACCAGAGGATAGGAGATGAGCATGATGCAAATATTAGGCCCCTATACCATGGCATTACTACTTTCCTGGATGTCTACACTCAGATGCATGTGGCCTTCTGAGTGTACGCCTTCCCCTGAACTCCATGTTCTTATGTCTGCCTCATCAACAGTGAACTTCAGCTTTGGCTGCTGCTACTGCACCTGCTCCTCCTAGTTCTCATTCCAGGAGATGATGGCCTGTTGGATGGGATTCCCAGGGATGTCACCTATTGCCTGACTCCTAAGCACCAGTAGTTTCCTAGTCTCCATGGCAACATTGCCCCTTTCTAAGTGAGAACCCACAGCAGCGCTGCTGTTTGAATCACTCTTGACCTCTCCATGTTCTATCACACTGGGTCTTGTTCACCCTGTCCAACCATGGTTGTCCTGCCCAGACTCAACTGAGCTGGTTCCTTGTGCTGGCTTTCTCTTAGTGGCATCTTTAGTGACTATGTATCAGGTAAACTCATTTTGAGCCAAATGCTACATGTGTTGTTTGGAGCTAGATCTTTAACCAGCATCAGAAAGGCCCAAGGGCAGAAGGTGACACAGAACAAAATCTTTTTGACTCTGGTGATGGCTGTAATCTATGACTATAGGGCACCATGAACCATGTCCATGAAAGTTGGCAGGACTGGTGTGGGTAAGAGCTAAGGAAAATAAGTGAGTTTACAAGGGATCTGAAATGGACTGATGGCCAAAATAAAATTCCCCAAAGGAACAGATTTTTATTAAGTCTAACATCTATATATATATAAGACTTCTGGAAGACAGAAAATGTAAAATGAGCACAGTAAAGATTAGGAGAAAAGGAATAAATATTCTCCATTGGCTAGTGGGTTTTTCCAGTGCTTCCTGTCTGCTTACTGCCTGCCCCATTAGGAAAACCTTATGTATGGAGAGATATAGACATTTCTCTGAAAACAATAGATGCCTGACCCTATTTTTTTTTCTACTGTGGAGGTAGAAATAAACACACTAGAAATATAAAAGTTATTCAATAAAAACCAGAAAATTTTAAGTGGTGCTAACATTTTATCTTACTATTTCTTTTCTGAAGTGAGAGGTCACATCTTTATAACAAAGATTTTTTTAAAAATAATTCTTGGAAACCTGCTCTCCAATGAATTCTCATACTCTTCTGGAAATGTAAAGAAGTGCAACTTTTATTTATGGAAGCAACTTTCCTCTTACTCACCATTGAGTGCTGTGATAGTCCAAACAACTGGCAACTTCTGCAGTTTCTGTTCCAGTGAAAATGTGTAGGGACCAGGGTATCTATCCCTTTGCAGGTTTTGAGCAGAGACAACCACAGAAGGTGAGGGACCACAGACTTCGTCCTTCTCCAGGACCACTGGTGGACAATTTTCATTAAAACTTGGTACTCTAACACGCACGGTGCCTGTGGAAGTTTTACCTGTGTATTCTGTAAGAATAACATTTTAAAGTTAAAGAAGTATATCAAATAAATTTGTACCAAAAAGAAGAGAATCGTTCAAAGTTTCTCTTCGTGCAGGTAAGTCAGCATATCTTCTCATGATGTCGTCTTATTTCTACAGCTCACAAAAAAACAACTTGAAATTTACCAAATTGCCCAGTGTCTCTAAAGAGTAGCATGGCCTATTAATTTAAGATGCTCAAAAGCAAAATCTATATGGTGTCAAGTTTACTGACTATAAATGAGATCAACTTTTTAAGCTATGTTGGTTTCATTTGCAATCAGTGTGTGAAAGATTTCTACTTCTAAAGCTTGAGCCAAAGTAAATAAAAAATTGATTTCTTTTTACTATATAAAATATAAAATTTATAATTATGTTTATCAGAGAAAAATTTAAAATCTTGATAATTGAAAACAACAGAATAAATATCTCTTGATGGTGAGAGTATTAGTCATGTCTGCTGTTACTCTTAATGCTTTTTACAGTTTCCCCAGTAGTGTGTGTGGGTGTATGTGTGTGTGTGTGTGTGTATATATATATAATATATACATATATATTTTATAAATAAATAAATTTGGGGGCAGGGGTTCTATTTGGTGTTGCTTATTACATTGACCAAAAAAATTTTATTCTTGAGGAAACACACAAAATCAATGAGTATTATTTTAAAGCATTTCATTAAAAGAAGTCTTATTGTTCAATGATATGCATAGAAGGTCTCTGTGGATAACACACAGATTTCACTTTTGAGTTGAGCTTCCCTACTAGGTTTTCCATAGGAAACTGTATTGATTCTCTGAAACCCAGAAATTTCTGTAGGTGAAAAATTTCTCCCTCAACCACAGGAAGGTCAGAGGAAACAAACAGAATCAGTGGTGACACAAACTCCACTGAGCAGCTGAAATTCTCAGTCTTTCTCTTAGAGTAGGTTACCCAAGACTTTGAAGTCCACGGCCTCTGAAATAATGATTTTTATCATAGAGACAAAGGAAGTATGTGAAATAATTACAATCAACAAGTCACAAAGAAATGTGAACTGCACAAGCATTTCTCTAAAATCTATTGGAATATTTTTCTTACCATCTATGGCCAGAACCTCAGCTGTGATTGTGTTATTAATGATGAAAGTAGAATCCCGGTCAATGTTTTTGACAAATTTGATTTCAGCCGTTTTTGAATTAATAGTTAGCAAACCACCGTGATTATGACCCATGACATATCTGTTTTATAATAGAAAAAAAAACAATAGTTTTCTTTCAGACTTGAAAAGACTGATTAATAAAAATGACTCATTTTATATTTAGCATATTTATGCTTAATAAAAAACTTTGAAGTATGGGCTTATAAAAAGTTTCAGAAAATTAACATGACATGCATGAACTGTATTTTGTAATCCTTAAATGTATGAATTAGCCTGGTTTCTCAATTTAAACACCTGTGTCCTTGTTTTTTTTATTTTTAAAAATTGATTAATTTATCTCAATTAGGTATATATGACAGCAGAATGGATTTTGATTCACTGTACACAATTGCAGCACAACTTTTCATTTCTCTAGTTGTACATGATGTAGTGTCGCACCATATGTGCAGTCTTACAAGTACCTACGGTAATGATGGCCATCTCAATCTGCCATCTTTCTTGCCCCCAT